AAAAACTTTATATGAATGTGAGTAAAAAACTGCTCACTAAATTTTATGGTGGTGGATATTTTACTTTCATATTTTTACCTTTTTTTTGCAGCAACGAGATAAAAACAAGCTTATAGCCTCTATGAAGCTCTTAAAAATAAAGAATTTTTAAGATTTAATTCTTAAAGTAGGAATAACTTCTGAGTTAGAGAAAAAACTTGAACAAAAAATTTACACTATAGGCTGTAATCTTCATCAGAATGAGCTTTTCTCTAGATATTTGATTAAATATTTGATTAAAACAACTGATGACTGTTGAACTGATGACAGTTGATAAGAGTGATGACTTTATATGTGCTTGTACTAGTTTAAGATTTCGGTTTGATTATTTTGATAATCTTTATTGTTCGATTCTATGCTCCCACATGGTCCGCAATAAAAAAAGCATTAAGTTGCATGAAGCTATATCAATCATTTATTTTATGTTAAACCAAATCAAAAGTTGGTCAAATTATAAACCAAATAAAGAAAATTACTGAAGTTCAAAATGATTTTCAAATATTCATAATGATGTTTGTTTATGAATTTATAAATATTTTTGATCAAAACAGAAATGAAGCAACAACTGAAGATTTTACTGATGAAGAATTGTATAAAAGTTTATTTCTGGAAAATGTTCAACCTCAAAGATATTTGTTGCACTCAAAAAATGTTGTCTATACAACTTGTTTCAAAGATTGGTTGTAATATTTTTGGAAAAAAAGCTCGAAATGTTAGCACAAAGCAACAAAATTTTATGCTACTAATACATAATATATCAAGAAAATAAAAATGTATAATAAACTTTGAGTTATTTCTTGCATAACGTTGTAACCACTAAAGTTGTTACAAGGGTTTTTATTTTGTGTTTTAAAATTACACTTCGTACTCCAAAATAATTAAGAATACTTATTAGTAACCTTCATTATTTTGAGAATCTTAGCTACCTAGCTAGCTAGGTAGAGAAGATTTTTAAAATAGTAATATCAAACTTAAAAATAAAGTTAATGTTTAATGGGGGATATTTTAATTTGTTTTTCTTTATTTTGCCATGACAATGAAGCAAATTTTCTGTCTCATTTATATTTTTATATATCAAATAATTAACTCTTGAAGAAAATAATTAACTTCTGAAACTCCATTTATATTTTTATATTTCAAATAATGAACTCCTAAACTAGTCTACAATATCGGAAACGCCGAGTAAATGTTACGTGGAAAGCCTTTGGACACTTCTTAAAAGCTAAAATTGCTCATGATGGTACTGTTTTATTTGACAAATTTTTCCAGAATGTATTTTTGAATTGTTCAGAAAAGACCTCTATAATGCCAATAAAATCAACTTGAATTTAAAAAAAGTTGTAAATCAACCTGCCCTTCTATATACTGTTATATAGTGTTATAGTAATATACACACATATAAAAGAATATATACAAAATACAAATCATAGATTGTCAGATTACAGTTAGATTTTGTGAAGTTCATATTGCAATTTTCACTAAGGAAAGCTGCGAGCTTTAGTAACATTAGAACTTATCGAGGCTTCCTTTAAAGCTGTTGACAGTTGGAGAATTGATTACTTTATCTAATAACATGTTCCATGCATTGACAATGCAATTGTTAATTGGTAGCATGTTCCATGCATTGACCATGCACTGGTAGCATGTTCCATGCATTGACAATGCGATTGTTAAAATGAAATATATGTTTGCAAAGAATATAAAAAATAATAATAATAATAAAAAACTATAAATTATGTTACTTCAACAATACAGTTACAATGAATATATCATTTAGATTTCTAGCAGGTCAATAATGGACAAAACAATACAAAATGAATCATAACAAAACAAGCGCCATTTTATTATTTAGGGATCGTCAATAAACTACGCAACGCAAGTAGGAGATATTAGGTACTTTTACGTGGCAATTTCATTAAACATAATGGAGCTATTTTGATTTTTTACTTAATTTAAGACTCTGTGAGGGAAAACTTTTGACCTTTTTTGTTTTGCTTATTAGTGAAATTTAGCGTTGCGTAATTTATGGACGATCTCTTAAAAGCCAAATGGAAATCAGTAAATTATAGACGTAACATTTTTGCTTAAAGCTTGTTGAGCATTTTGACAAAAAATGTTGTGAAAGTTTCTAGGCAAGTAAAAACTTAAGAATCGCGTAAGTTTTTGTGCGCATGGGAATAGTGAAAATGCCTTTGTGTTTATCTTTGAACTTTAGTAAAACGCTGGCAAAATTTACGCAATATTTATAGACTGTTTTGATTTTTTAAATTTAAATTTAATTTAATTAAATTTAATTAAGATCCAGGTTCGAAATGAGCTCTGGACATATTTTCGCGTCACGGTTAGGAAGGAGGCGTGAACTTCCTGGTTAATTGCACTTCCGCGGTGCTCTGTGACAAGACCGTTAGGTCTTCATGGTGCACCTAAAAATAATAACAAAAAAACAAAAATAAAATGAAGACTCTGCAAGGGAAAATTTTTAATCTTTTTCGTTTTGTTTATTAGATATAAATAGCCACTAAGAATAGCTATGACAGAAAACCAGCATCACCGTCATCATCAAGAACAGAGAAGTCAAATCCTTCTCTTTCAACTTTTTCTCAGAATCAATAATGACATTTTGTATAAACTATTATTTGTAAAAGATTTTGCACAGAAAAATTTAGAAAAGTTTTGCTTTTAAGTTTTTTGCTTGTGTCAAACTTATGAAAGAATTCAATTATAATGTGATTGTATAACATCATAAAACATCTTTATAAATTTATAAATAATAAATCAAGTATTTTATATTATTTATAGTATTATTTTATTGTATTAAAGTTGTTTTCTTTTCTTTTGAGACAATCTTATGTAGTTAATATGGATTTTTAATTTTTATACTGGATTATTTAACTTCATAAAAAAAAAGTTAATAAGATAATTTAGCTATTTGTAGTTACTTACACGTTCAAAAATTAGTTCAAAAAAAAAAAAATTAATCTAAAAATCTTCTTGAGCTTTTGAAGTTTACAAAACTTGAAAAAGATTTTGCACACACGCTTATGCACAAATGCGTTTGCAAACATGCACATGCAGGGATCCGTTTGCACACATGCACAGACAAATTGTTAAAAACATTCCCTATCTTTTATTATCTAAGGTACACCTCAATCACTTATGCAACATAACTTATATAGAACCTCAGCAACTTACGTATCAGTTATATAACATTTGTATACAAAAGTCATCTTTTTTCCCCGCTTTTGTTAATATTACTTTAAATTTTATTATTTATATCCCAAGCCGAGCTCAAAGTATAATAGAATGCGACGCGATATCATTCCGTCACCTTTCTGTAAAATATAGATCTTTTTACATCTTTCTTAATATAGCAATGGTTTAGCGAAATGGTATTTTGAAGTTATAAAAAACCATTTAGTTGCTTTGAGTACAGCCGAAGCCATAGACTAAAAAAGAAAATCTTTATAAAATGTTGAAACTACAAAAGAGACATTCAAGCATTCAAACTAACGATATTATTAAATTTGTAAAGGTGTAAAAAATAAAGAAATCGCTTTATATTTTTTTTTCTTTTTGCTGCTTTTTTACGAGTATAAACTTGTACAATTTTTACCCCTTTTTCTCAAATTTTAAGTTTTAAAATGTCAATGACAAAAAAGTTGTAAATATCATGTAAATATTATTTTAAAAAAATAACTTTAGTCTCATCCTCATCTCATCTTGTTGTTATATTTTTCATTTAGTCAAATTTAGTATTACGTCAAAGTAAATAAAGACTTTAAAATGACTAGACAGCTCTATTTTTTTTTCAAATTAAGTTCTTTAAAAAATGACGTTTTTTTCTATTACTTTTTAAGAAAAAAAAGTATTTCAAACTTTCTTCTTATAATAACTTAAAATTTTTTACTACATAACCAAATACATAACAACATAAATATTTTAACTACAAAGTTAAACATTTAATAAATAAAAAATTTTCAACTATAAAATTTAAATAATAATTAATAACGTATACAACATCAAAATACTATATTTAATAATATTTTAAACTATAAATGATATAATAAATTTACATGGTACGGTAAGTATTATGATTAATAAATTTGTAGAAAAAAAAAATTATAACTTATATTTATAATAATAGGTTTAATTAAAAAAAATTTAAAACTTAATAATAGAGTTTATTCTTTCCGAGCGGTTAGTTTCTTTAAAAAATTTAAAACTTAAGTATATTTAGCTCTTCAGTTTTCTTTCACCCCAAACTAGTTTGTAAAGTGTAAATACTTCACCCAGTTGTATTTTTTATTAATCACGTATTTTAGGATCTATAGTAGTTAACAAATGTAGTTAATAATTCACGTTTTTTATGAATTTTTCGACGAAGATTGTTGGGGGCAATAGACTCATCAGATGGCATAAAAGACACCTCTGAATGTTTTTTTAAAAAAATTTAAATGTTAGATTTTTTTTATAAAAACGTTCTATGTTTTCTATTAGTGATTTTCGTTCCAAATACGATCGTTTCAAATACATTAAGTTTAATAAAGTTTTTAGATCGTCAATTTGATTTTTAATTTTTGAAGTTTTTTCTATCAACTCCATAAAATTGTGAGAAAACGTTTAATTCCTAAAACTGGCAATGATTTGCATCTTGGTATCTTGTTATAAAACTTGAACTTAAAACTTGTAAATTAGATGTAAATCTAAACAAAACTTACTCAATCAAAACAACAAAAAACTTTACTGTAGACTTTTGTTGTTCTTTTTCTTTTTTCTTTTTTTATTTTCTTTTTTAAAGTTCAGTTTGTCGAATTTATATTTGAAGAATATATCGTATAAAAAGTTTTACAGCTGTTCCGCCTCTTTTCACATTTTCACTTATATAAATATTAATAATGATAACTTTAATGTTGAAAATTTTCTTTTTTATTTTTATTGAATTTAAATAGAGTACATTGTTTTTAATAAATTTTTATCGCAAGCAAATCAACATAGTTAATTTTTTTATCGTGCTAAACATAACAGCTTAAGAATAAAATTACTGATAAACTTGATAAAATCACATAAAAATCGAATGCAAACTACATTACTCTTTTGGCGCCGAATTTTGTATATTGCAATTTTTTATTTGAAGAAAATTTAAAAACAGTACAATTAATAGTTGTTTGTTGTTTTTTTTTGGCTTTTCTTTTTTCTTTAAAGAACAGGAAGCTAAACACAGATGGAACACGGTAAAAGGCGTCGAAATGCAATTCGCGTTTCTACACAGAAGGATGTAATTCTTTTAATGTTATTAGGAAAATCAAAAGTAGGAAAAACATCTCTTGTAAACCGTTGGTTGAAAGACACTTTTACTGATACCTACACTCCAACTGTTGAAAATTTTCATCTTAAATCTTATAACCATCAAAATCAGTTCATTAACCTAGGTATAATAGATTTAACTGGCTCCTGGGATTTTCCAGCCATGCAAAACTTATATTTATCTAAAGCTGATAGCGTTATGTTTGTTTATGAAATTGGTAATGAAAGTTCAATTAAAGAAATGAAACTTTTGTACGAACGATTCTTAAAAGTAAAAACAAGCGACCGTGAGGTTACTGTTTCTGTTGTCGGTACAAAATACGACACCACTATAGAAGGAGATTCTAACTTTGACGATAAAAGTAACAAATGCGCTTACCTTTGCCACCAATCATTAGTATGTGAAATTGGTAATAGCCATCAAAACGTTGCATACTCTCCTTCAATTGATACAGACGCTGAAACTATAGTTTTAGAAAACCAAAATCTCACCTGTGACTCATTCAAAGTTAGCTTGACAGGGTTCCTTTCAGATATCAAAGAAAAATGCACACACATAGTTACATCATCTAAGCTAAACATTAACGTACATCTTGCTTTTGAAAACGCTTTAAATGGGTTAGTTGAAAGCTTACCCCCCAGTTCTCAAGATATGCAAATTTTAGTTCAAAAACTCTCTAAATCCAAATATAAAAATTTAGTTTCATGGTGCTGTTGCTTGCGGTTTTCAAAGTTTTAAGTTATTATTATTCTTTTAAATTTTGTTTTTGATTAGTTAAAGTATTTTTTATCACAGACGTATAAACTCACTCACGCACAAGAACCCACACACATGCAAACACACACTTACGGACATACATGTTTATATATAAATATATATATATATATAATATATATATATATATATATATATATATATATATATATATATATATATATATATATATATATATATATACATATATATATATATATGTGAAACTTTTAAAAAATTTTTATTAAAAGAATTTGTAAAAATACATATTTTGACTAATAATTAGTGGTCTTTAGTTTGCAATAATGTTTAAAAGCCAAAAAAAACGTAATATCAGTAATAAGAATACAATATAGAATGTCATAAATGCCAATATAGAATGTCATAAATGACAATCTAAAATATATAAAATAAAAATCAAGTAGGTTACAAATTTAACGTGTTTTGACAAACTTAATATAAAAAGGTAGCAGTTTATGTAAAAGATCAAATGAAAACGATTATAGTGAAAGACACATTTAACATGATTAGCATTATTGCTATTTATTTCACTCAACAACCTTTTTTTTACTTAAAGTTCGCTTACGATAAATTTGTAAAAAATGTTTTTCAAATTGCATTAAATTTTAAAATTGTAATGAAATTGAATTTGTGATGAAATGAATTTAAAATTGTAATGAAATTGACATTTCTAAATTGATCAATCGGCATTGAAGTTATGCAAAAAAAGAAATCGAACCAAGTTTTTTTTGTTTTTATATAATTTTCCTATTCCGTAACCGGAACCAAAAATTCACACAACTGTCACACGATACCGAAACCAAAAATTAATAATTTAGTAAGTTATTATCTTAGTTATATTGAAACAAAAGGCCAAAAATTATTTACATTATTTACATGATTTTCCAACGGTCCCGTGTTATTTCTTTTTTTTAAAATAAGATTATAAATATAACATACAACTAAATAAAAAATCTCTGTTACTTCAGATAAAATCTCTGTTACTTCAGATAAAATCTCTGTTACTTTAGATAAAATCTCTGTTACTTCAGATATGACTGTTATAATATAGTAATTTAAAACACCTAATTCCGAAACCGACCACAGATTTTTCCCAAGACAAATTTTAATTACAGCAGAAACTAGTAAAAAGTGGTTTATTATTAAGATAATTTTATTAATAAAAGTAACAAACCTAAGTAACAATCCGAAATAACAGTTTCAATTTATATAAAGTACGACAACTACCCAATGTCAACGCAGAGTTGTAATAAGTATGTCTTAGAAATGTTAATTTTTTCGGCTTTGTTGCATTTATTCATCACTGCTATCTCTCTGCAGAAACCAGATTTACTGGTAATGCTGTTTACTATAATCGCTAAAAGTAATAATTAATTTATTAATTATTAGTGAAAAAAAATTTTATTAAAATTTTTTATTAAAATATAGTAATTACTAATAATTAATTTATTAATTATTAGTAATTACTATATTATTATTAATAATTATACGGGACTTCAATAAATTTGTATCAAGCATATGTTGAACTACAAAATCACTAAAAAATGTATTATTTTATTTATTTATAAATATAAACAATCTGATAACAAATGATTAAATAAATTATTAAAAAAAAAGCTATTGCTTACAATATATTCATAAACTCATAGGATCATCTAGCACAGCCGTATACAATTTTTTTTTTTTTTTTAACATTTTTCTTACTTTAACGAAATATATATATATATATATACGTAACGAAATATATATATATATATATATATATATATATATATATATATATATATATATATATATATATATATATATATATTATTATTATTATTATTATTATTATTATTATTGCTATTATTATTGTTACTATTATTATTATTATTATTATTATTATTATATATACTTATACGAAATAAATATAATATATATATATATATATATATATATATATATATATATATATATATATATATATATATATATATATATATATATATATATATATATATATATATATATATATATATATATATATATATATATATATATATATATATATATATATATATATATATATATATATATATATATATATATATATATATATATATATATATATATATATTAGGGTGATCCAAAAATGACCAAAAATTTTTTTTTTTTTACTATTTGTTATTCCTAAGGTCTAAATGTGTTCATTTATTAAAGAAAACATTGTACCAAAAAAATCAGCCAAATCGGTTAATATTTAGAGGTCGCGCTGGGGCGATCTTTATACCCCTCTAAAATTGGAATTTTCAAAAGTTCAGTAAAATATTGACTTTCGTTTTCTGTGCACATGTCGGTTATTTACCGTTCGATTTTAATAAAATAAAAACGAAAACAAAGCTCTTACTACGCATAATAACTTTTGTAAAACAACATTTCCTTTTTAAATGCATATTAAAGCGGCAAAATAAATTGCAAACTAAGCCAAATTTCATTATATTTTATTACATTGGTTTATTGTATGGTTTAGTTCAGTTCGAGACTTTATCGAGAGTGTTGTGATTCCTGAAATAAAATTACAATAGTTTATCTATTTTGCTTGACTAATAATATTAATTATAGTATTTTAAAAAAGTGATATAATTGCGAGTTTCAACGAAACTAATTTTGTTTGGAAATATAGGAGACAACAAAATATATTTTCATTCATACACTGTATTAAAGAAAATTTAAAATGGCTGCAGTCGCAAAGTCAACACGCAGTTCTACAGCAAAATGGTTAATTGGTCAAACAATATCAATGCTTTCCCATCTTAAGCTTCCAACGATTTTGGAAGTATTAAAATATTTTTTCTTCCACCATGAGGTGAAAGGATTGAGTAAACATGAAAGTTCGGTAACAGTTATCAAATCAACTTGTGAAATTTGGGGAAAAGCTAAAATTCCTACAATTCGAAAGGATAATGCAGTTACAAAGCTTGAAAATTTTCATAAAGAATATACGGATCTATTAAAAAACAGAAATGAGAAGTCAGCTGTTGCTAGAAGCAAAGTAACAGACTTTGAAAAGAGAATTATGAAACTTTTTGATATTGCTCCAACTAATGTTTTTGATTTAATAAAAATTGCTGAAAATCGCGATTTCCTCATAGATCAACGAGATGATAGAAACATGGTCTTGGGTTCCATTGATAAAGATGATGCAGAGAAAGAAGAAAATAAAGTTTGCAGAGAGATAAGTTTGGATAAACGTTTGCAAAAAGAAGCGTTAAGGAAACAACGCTCTGAAGAAGTAGTTGTTCTTGAGAATTCACCTTCGCCTTCAAGTTCTGCTAGTAGCAATCATGATGGTATCGTAGTTTTGAAAGGAAAAGATGGTGTTGCAGAAAGCTCCGATCTAAAAAGGAAGCGTTCTATAAAAAAAATTATTACCCCTGAAGTTGTCGCTTCCTTAGATAGAGGAAAAGTAAGCAATCGTGTGGCAATGCGAACTATAGCAGCTACAATGCAAAGTTTAGGAGCTCCCATTGAAGAGTTCTCTATATCTGTTACTACTTTTCATAGGGCAAGAACTGTTTATCGTGAAACTCATTACAATGAAACAAAAGAAAATTTCAAACCGGATGTACCTCTCGTAGTTCATTGGGATGGAAAAATGATGGCAGACATTGCTGAAAGTGGAAATGTTGAGCGTTTGTCAGTTTTAGTAACAGGGCGTGGTGTTGAAAAACTTCTGGGAGTGCCAAAACTTCCTGATTCAAAAGGAGAAGCCATTGCTACTGCAGTTGTAGCCTCCCTCCATGAATGGGACGCTTCGAACCTTATTAATAATCTCTGTGGCATGTCGTTTGATACCACAGCTAGCAATACAGGATCTGAGAAAGGTGCTTGTAATTAACTTGAAGAAAAATTAGGAAAAGAATTATTGAATTTAGCTTGTCGTCATCACATTACTGAAATTGTTGCAGGATCTGTGTTTAAAATTTATTTTCCAACAACGTCCGGACCAGATGTTGCTATTTTCAAACGCTTTAAACAAGCCTGAAAGAATATCAAGAAAGATGATTTTAGCCCAACAGTGCAAGATGAAGAAGCCGTGGCGCAGTGGATAGCAGCCGTGGCGCAGTGGTAGCACACTTGCCTCAGAAACTTAAGATCCGTGGTTCAAACCCAACTCTGGGCAAGTTTTGCGACATCGGTTAGGAAGGAGGCGTGAACTTCCTATTAAATGCTCTTCCGCGGTGCTCTGTGATAAGACCGTAAGGACTTCTTGGGGCACCTAAATCAACATTAAAAAATTAAAAAAAAAAAAAAAAAAAAAAAAGAAGCTGAAAGATATCTTTCAAACGTCTCTATTGAAAAAAAATCGTCTAAAATTAATTACTTAAAAAAATGTTTGCAAGACTCACAACCACGAGATGATTATAAAGAACTTCTTGAATTATGTCTAATACATTTAGGAGAGCAACCTCCTAGTGGAATAAGATTTAAAGTATCTGGAGCCTTCCATCATGCTCGCTGGATGGCAAAACTTATTTATTTAATTAAAATATGGTTATTTAGAGATCAGTTTAAAATGGTGCAACATGAATTAAACGCAGTAAGAGATATTAGCATGTTTGCTGCGTTAATATATGTTCGACAGTGGTTTACTGTACCACTCAGTGCCTCGGCCCCATTTAATGATTTAGATTTTCTAAAAAATATTGAGGAATATCGTGAAATGAATGAAAGTATAGCTGCTGCCAAGGCAATGAAGCGGCATCTATGGTATTTAAGTGAAGAACTTATATCTTTGGCCTTTTTTAGTGATGATGTAGAGATTGAAGTTAAAAGAAAAATGATAACTGCCCTTCAGCGTCAGTGCGTAGACAATAATAGGCCATCAAAGAAATTAGCAGATATTACAAATGTAATGAGTAAATCCCTTGAGGACTTTGTAACGTGTAAATCACTTTCATTTTTTAATTTCTCAAATATTGACATTTCCTTTCTTGAAGAGGATCCTTCAAACTGGAAAAACAATGAGTCGTATGCCGACTTTAAAGAAGTAGTGAAGTCTCTTTAAGTTGTTAATGATTGCGCCGAAAGAGGGGTGA